ACATTTCAACGAACAGTTCATCCTTTGCATTTCTACCAATGAGATTGAGCAATCCTTCCTATTTCCACCAATCACATTCATGATATGTTCGATGTAAATTGTTACGTTGCCAAACGACAAATTGATCGCCCAATCAAAACGGTTCAAATACATTTCGTCCAATCATATCTCAATGGCATTTCGGTTCTCCAATACCCTTCCAGAAATTTGTTTGATACATGTCGTATGCCACCTACATGAAGTGATATTGAAATATACAGGTAGTAGAATCTTTTGATGTTACTGAGGTTGTCGGCTTTTTTCGACGAGCGTGCGGCCCTTGTACACACACTTGTCCTGGGCGACGCGGAGGCCCCACTGCAAGAAGTTCGTGTTTGTCGCCACTTCAAGGAACTGGTTCAGCTTACCGATACGTTCTTGGATCGATCTGTCCGACAGCAACGACCCAAACAGTTGCTTGTTGGGTAAGTCCGGGATGTCCTTGCGGCGGTATCCGTTCTTGGTCTGGAGCGTCGTCGCCAAGTTTCGGAACGTGCTGTATCGATGCCACACGAACAGCGTACCGCGGTTGTTGGTTTCGATCTGGAGCTTGTACTCAACAAACTGCCGGCCTTCGCGGAATTTCAACCGACTGTCGACAACCTTGGCCGACACCAACGACACTTGCTGTGCCCGCACCATCTTGCTCTGCAACGTAAGGACTTGGAGCTTGAGCCGTTCGTTTTCGCGCAGCAGTTCGGCCGCGGCATGTTCGGCGATATACGCCGCCATGTTGGCCGCAGCGCCACTTTCTCGGCTTGGATGACTCGGTTGTGCGTGAGTGCCGCCATGGCGGCCATTTGGGCCAACACAGCGGCGGCTTCGGCTTCGGTGATACGGGCGGCCGCAAACGCCAGAAACCTCTGCGACCCTGAAGACATGCGTTCTCCGTCGCTGCCTTCGGAGGTGGTGTCGACTGCTCATTTCATCTATTTGGTTTGATTGGAGTCGTGAAGCTTCGGCTTGGTGCAGGGCCCGAACCTTTTCTTGTTCTTCTGACCTTGCGGCCGCTTCCGCTGCTGCTTTCGCATTTGCATGGGTCTTGGCTTCGGGGGCGCGCTTGAGTTCTAGCTTGCGCTGGCGTTCCTTGGACAACGCGACACGGAACTTGCGGCCGGCCACCCATCCGCGAACGCGGGCCTGCAACAAGATCGTACCTGGGTCCGCAAGGCAACGGCGCGCAGGTCTTCCAAATGCTGCAACAGCCCCGAGGTAAAGTACACTTTGGACTTGCCGATGGCTGAATTGTCCGTGACGGCTTCTTCAACACGGCAGGTTCGTGCAAGTGGTTAAGGGTGCACATGTTCTCCACGCCGAGCTTTTCAAACGAGTTACAGATCGGCACGACATTCGACGACACTTCGCCGGTCACTTTGGCGATAGCCCGCACGTCAAGTGTCTTGGTGATGCAAGCAACTCCACCGCTGCGTACATGCGCCAGCAGTACAAAGAGAAGCAGCTTAAGTTAGAACAGGTCACAAAGACAGGTCCCACCGCGGCCTTGTCGCGGAAAGTCGTTGATGCGTGATTGAGAAAGCAATGCAATGCCTCGAAATCAGTTCCATCGTGTCGGTGCCATCAGTACTTGTCTCAGGGCCAATCCAGCGAGAGCGCTCGGGAATTTTCATCGTTGCGTACGTTGATCGTTGTTGCATGGCAGTCTCATGGCTGCCTGTGTGTTCGATACAAGTCAGATTTGCCAGCATAAAGCTCCTCGACGAAGCAGTCCCTAATGTATTGATTTACAGATCAGGCAGCGCATTGTTGGATGGCTTGCCAGGGATGTACCAGGCTGCACATTCTTTTGATGGTGCCAAAGCTTGCCACGGTTTTTTCGCGACGAGACAGGTGCTCATATCGGCGCACCCGTCGTTGCGCTCCCTTGACTCGACGCATTTTTCAATTGACTTGCTACCATGAAAGTTGCCTTTGCATTGTGTGCGGTCCTTGCCACTGCTCAACGAGCCACCGGAATGCACGAGTATGTGAGCGTCTTGCAATCAGGCTCGTTTGGCCGCAACTTGTGCGGCGGCAGCTTGATCGCCACCAACGTCATCCTGACTGCGGCCAGCTGCAAGGATCAAAGCTTCGATTACGTCTCGATCGGATCGGATTCCGTCAACACCACGAGCGACGGCGAACGAATCAAGGTCAAGGAGACATTCATCCACCCCAAGTACAACGCCAAGACCGGCTCGAACGACGTTGCCGTCATGCTCCTCGAACGACACTCCAAGTTCACACCCGTGAAAGTCTCGTACGACGTTGTCGAGGCGGGTACCCCCACGATAGTCCGTGGTTGGGGCACGCAACACGTGCAATTCGCCGCCTTGTCGGAACTTCGTGACGTCACTGTTAGCAATGACCAATGCGCCAGGTGGATGTCTCCCGAAATCGCAAATGAGAGCGTGGTGTGCGTGGGCGGCAAGGGGGGCAAAGAGGCGTGCCTACAAGGCCCTGGCTACCCTTTGACTGTGCAAGACAACGGGTCGGAGAAGATGGTGGGTCTGGTCAGCCGGAGCACGGGGTGTACCGAAGTGAACACGCCGGTTGTTTACACTCGTCTCTCCATGATTCGTGACTTCGTCGAGCCGTTCGTGAACAATACCGCGACGCCTTCGCCTTTGCCGCGCAAGCCTGTCACGCAAACGCCTATCACGACCTCAGCTGCTCCCACGCTATTGTAGCGGCAGTTGAAAATGGAAATGGAGCGCCAATAATTCTCGCGCAGAATTTCTCACGCGCAATCGGCAAACTTCAATATATTTGTCCAGAAAGATTTCATTGGTTTGTTTCAGACGTTTTGTATCACTCGTTCGTCAACGCCTTGGAATTCCATGGCAAGCTCCATCAAGCGAGCAAGATACCCCACTGGAAGCAACACTTTTCCGCTTCCAACTAGTTCCTAACGTACGCAACTTTCGTGGCCAGTCCTCAGGCACACCATTGGATCCCGTGGACGTTCGAGTACCGAACATCGACGAGTTCAAACAGCTCGTGTACACAACGGCGGCACCACACATGAAACGAGGAGTTGTGTTCTTGCCTCATGCGACTGGACGTGCGTTGGAGCCTGTTTTGTACATTTTACGTTTTTTGGACTGAATCTACAATACACAATGCCATTGTTGCTGCGAAAAGTTGCGTCGACCGTCAGCCCACTACGCCGAGGACACACCATGATGCAAACACTACGACCATCACTTGGTACAGCATCGGTTAGTTGTTCCCAACATCGTGATGTCGATCTCCGGTGGAGTTCACCATGGCGACCCCATTCTGGAGATGAACAGGCAGCGTCATAACACAGGGTCGGGTGGACAGCAGACACCACATTGGAAGTGACTGGAGACCACGCCCCACCATCCCCCGAATGACGCATCCATGCATCGACAGCAAGGCGTAGTATTCAGCAGCCTTACGACGTGACGACAAGCTCCCCCGACTTGTCGTCGCGCCAGTGCTCGACGAGGTTGGTAAAGATGCCCTTGGGGTTCTTGAGCAGTTGCGCGGGCGTGTCAAACTCGGCCGCCGACCCCTTGTCCATCACGAGGATGCGGTCGCTGTCCAAGATCGTGTTGATGCGGTGCGCAATCGTCAAGCACGTGCAGTCCTGGAACGACTCGCGGATGCTGTCTTGGATGAGGCGGTCCGTGTTGGCGTCGATCGACGCCGTCGCTTCGTCCATCAAGATCACCTTGGACTTCTTCAGCAGCGCGCGCGCGATGCAAATCAGCTGCCGCTCTCCCACGCTGAAGTTCTGGCCGCGCTCGTCCACCTTGTCGTCCAGCGACGTCACGGCGTTGTGCAAGTTGGCGCGCTTGATGGCGGTCCAGATCGAGTCGTCGCCGTACCGGTCGAACGGGTCCAAGTTGGACCGGATCGTGCCGGAGAACAGCACCGGGTCCTGCGGAATGATCGAGATCTTGTCGCGGAGGTCGTGGAGGCCGATCGTCGCGATGTCGACGTCGTCCATCGTGATTTGGCCAGCGTCCAACTCGACCAGGCGCATGAGGGCCACGACCAGGGACGACTTGCCCGCTCCCGTGCGGCCGACAATCCCGATCTTTTCCTTGGCGTGGATCGTGAACGTGAGCTTGCGCAGGACGCGGGGAAGACCTTGGCGGTAGCGCAGGTCCACGTTGGTGAACGTCACTTTGCCTTGGGATGGCCACTTGGCATT